CCGCCCCTCACACGTGGGGACCCGTGGTGCCAACCTGAGGGAGGGTGTGAGGAAAGAAGAAAACCCACAGGTTTCTTACAGGTTTTTATTGCCTTCAGAACACGTTGGATGTCTCAAAGAGCGAAGCGAAGTGCTGCGGCAGGTGACAAAGGTGACAGGGTGCGGCCATGGCGGGGCAGGTGCTGCTTGGCTGTGGGGGCCGGCGGTGGGAAGGCAGCAGACCTGGAGCCACTGCCATGACAGGGCCATAAACTGAAATGAAAACGGAAAAAAAATGAAGAGTGTAGAAAACATCAATTTTAAGAGACCCGACCTAACGCGGACTTGACTATAAAAAGCAGCTCTCCATGGAGAAGCTGCTGGGCTGGCACACGGTGGTCACTGGCGGGGTGGGAAGCAGAGCGTAAGCAGAAGGAATCAAGGGTTTGGGTTTTTTTCTTCTTTTTTTGTTTTTTTCTTTTTAAGTAGCTTTAAACCTTACCCATTCCTGAGGGAAGTAATTGCAGGAAATGAATGAGCATCAAGAGATACCGTTTTAAGCTGTGCATACACGTAAACAAGTGGTTTATTAAAAAGAAAAAAAAAAAACACCCTTGAGCAATATAACAAAGTATTTCATACAAATTCCACATCTTACCCCTCCTTACGTAACGGGCGTAGCTGGCAGGATCGTGGCAAATTAGGTCAAGCTGTACCCAGATGAGGGATTAGACGAGGAGTAGTTTAGAAATAGCTGAAGACACTGACAGGGCTGGAGTGGAAACGTCGTCGGGTTACTCTGAAGAGCAGCGAAAGAGAAAGAAATCGCCGATAACGCAGAACCGTGTCCCTCGCCACCAAGGCTGGAGGGAGAGTTAAGCAAACCTGCTACCGTAAACAACCTGCAGGCTTTCACAGCTGTAAGGGAGCGCTAGTGCTGATTTTCTTGGCTGGCAAGGAATGAAACAGAGAGAAAGTAAGCGTTGCAATGCTTCCATGTTTTTTTCATAGTAAGTGAGATGTGCTGGTGAATTAAAGCCAAGTGTCATAAACCGAAGGCACACTTTTTTACCTTTGAAAACTATTGGTATAGGATAAGCAACAGCGTAACGGTGCTGACTAATATAAATAGGAGGTAGTTGCAGACCTGAAGCAGAACCACCCAGCACAGCCCTGCTCTGCAACAGAAAGCAGGATTTCTCTGAAAATGGGAAGAAGCAGGAATAGCAACATAAATAGGGCTGAGATAATTCAGAGCAAAGAGGAAGCCAGGAGTCCTATTCTTAGAAAGGGTGAGAAACAGTCTGCTTGCACAATTCAGATTGCCTTATCTTTTCAGTTTTCTTTAAATGATAATGCAGTGAGTATTTGTCATTGGGCTGTGACTAATCACAAAATCCACCGCTCAGCTGCATTAAAACAAGCACATACTCAGACCAATAACACTGTAACACGAAAAATTGAATTTACGTATTCCTCCAAAGCAATGGATGAGACTAATAAATGCCTGTGGAATTTGGGGAACTCACAGATTTCCGAAACAAAAAAAAACCCCAATAAATACCAGCTACTTAGTGGTGACTAATAAAGGTGAATAATTTTAGACTCTCCCAGAGACCTCTTTAAAAAATCATCCTATTTAGTGGAAGATAATATTGTAGAATGACAGATTTTCTCAAAATTTGAGGGCAGTAGCTTGATAAATAGTGTGAGCTAATTATAAAATGTTTTTCCTAAACCCTGGAATTACAGTGAGTCAGTCTCTGGCAACATCCCCATTGGTTCCACTGCTTTATTGTGTTCTTTACATCTCCAGAGGTAGTCTTTATCCTGCACATTGTAGCAAATAATAAAATCCCAAGTACAGAGAAGTAAAAATAACCGAGATTTTACTGCACAGTATCTGCAAAACGCAAGGGCACAGCGAAAACAGCTCGACATGCTTTTGTTAACGCATTCATCTTTCCTTTCAGCTTATAAATCTGTCTTCCGGCTCATCTGTCAGATTTGTTTCAAGCGATCAAACCAAACATGCTCTTTTCTTAAAAAGAAAACAACAGCATTTCTTAGACTTACTGCTGTAAAAGAATTCCAGGAAATGCTGCCCAGAAAACCCATTTGGCTGCCTCAGCTATCCAAGAATATTTTTAATGGGGAAAAGAAGAACATTTTATAAGAATATTCTTTTTTTAATGTGAAATTCCATCTGTTTGACAAACCTATCTGGAGGAAGGCGGCTCTCTCAGGAGTGGATAGTCTGACTGAGACACGGGAGTCAACAATCCTAAGATTCAGATTCTCTTTCCAGCTCCCCATCAG